AGTAAGGGTAGAGATGAGAGACAGGGTAAAAGGAGAAATGAACTGCAGAGTTCTGGGGAAGGAAAACATGATCCGAATAAAGGATGAGGTAGGTTAAATGATACCAAGTCCCTGTGACATCAAAAGTGAAAATATCAGATCCACAATGACCACAACCCAATAGAAGGAGGAAATATGCTGTAAGGAAGAGGTGAAACAAGTAACAGGAAGAAATAGGTTTGAACTGAGGTAAAATAATGGCATGAAGGGATGGGAGGGAGGGTTCAAAAGCAGCAGAAGCAACCGAGGAATCCATGGTTGAGTGGGCCAGTAAAGAGCAATCAGAGGGAGACTACCCAATGAATTAATCAAATAGGAGGATAAACAGAATGAAACAGGTGGGACCAATCCTGGTTGAAGGCATCTATTGCCAAAGCCCTAGTATGGGGAACAAGGGACCAAAACTTAAGTAATTTGTAATTGAGGGCAGTGGCAAATGCATCAATATGGGAAGTACCCAAATGATGACAGCACAACCGAATCTGGTCGAGAAAGACGATCTGCCATCAGAATGAATTCACACGGAATATGACACACCATCAAATGAATGTGATGGGAGTGGGCCCAATCGAGAAGAACTAACATGCAAAAACACAAGGATCTCGACCGGGTGCTGCCTTGGTGGTTAATATAAGCCACTACTGTAGAATTGTTGGAATGGATCATAACTAGACAACCGCTAGAGATAAAAAGAAAATGACACAATGCTCGATGGACAGCCAGGAGTTAAGATGTTGATGTGAAGAGAATGTTCTTCCATAGACAAATGCCCCAAAACCTCTTGGTGATCAACCATGTACCCAAGCTCTAAATGTATGCATCTGTGAACAGGTGTAACTCTGGCTGCGGACGAGGAAGCGGGACATTTGCCGATGTATGGGCCTTGACCAACCAATGTAGATCATCTATCAAGGCGGAGGGAAGGTGAATAGGAACATTCAGGAGATGAGGTATCACAAAGAGTGTCAGAGGAAGACCAAGGCAAGAAATGGGGCATAAGTAAAATGAACAGGCAAATTGGAACTCATACCCCAAATAGGTAAAACTGAACCCACAATTGGTGGCCCAGAAATTGGGAGCTTGATCTAAAAATCACAAGAGCGGACAAACCCGAAGCCCACAGCGAACTAAGTTAACCAATGCCATCACCCATCAGGGCGGCAAAGTACAGTGTAAACCCAAACATAAGGGGATGGGGGAGAAACAAGGTAGAGGGGGTAGAAACAAGCAATAGGGAAGAATGTGGGTCAAAATAGCTATAACAACAGATAAAACATCACATACCTGTGATATAATCTCTGAGAAAGGTGTGGGAAGGCACGGCAAACTCAGGGGGGAAGTGAAAGAAGATCAAAATTCCATAAGCCTGCACTTGTAGAAGGCTTGAAAAATACAAGAAGAAGAAGGGCACGAACAGGAGACAATGTGCATTCCATATAATGCTCCATATCCCCTCGAACAAAGGCCGAGAAATTCCCCTACGGGTCGCCCGCACCTGTGGCCAAAAGTGCAGTAACAGATATGCACTCGATGTGGTAACAGTGACTTTGGAATTCAAACAAGAAAAAAATGCATGGAAAAGATGGGTAAATCAAATGCTCTCAAACAAAACTGAAATTAAATTAAATGAAGTTAAATTAAGCTAAATAAAGTTAAACCACTTCTTGGGTAATCAGTGGTCTAAAAAAAGATGTCTGCACTTGTTGCATGCATTTTGAAAAAGTTTGCATATAGAGGGCAGCACAAAACGAGAAAAGCTAATCTTGTGAGAGGAGAGAAGGTGCCATATCAGAATTTAGTAGAGCATGTTTCTTTTATTTGTGAAGCATGTGTGGAATAATCAAGCATTTTTGAAATTAGATGCCTACTACCAAAAATGCAGCAACTGTAACAAGAAAAGTCAAGGTAAAGAAACATACTTGTAGAAAATAAAAAAAGTATTTATAAACATATAAATCTGGAAAATTTAAAGGAGAATAATATAATTATTCATGTTGTTAAAAATTAATGTTGTGTGTACAAGTTAAAAGCTATCTTTGAATAACTGTCATTAATTCTTACCCTAATTCTGATTGGAGTCATCAAAAAATCATAAAAATTACACTTTACCAACTTAATCTAGGTTCACACCATAACAGTTGTATTTCATGCAATTTGATAAAATAAGTACCGCAAAAATTACTGAAACTGTCATATCTCAGCTAACAATACAGAAGTTACATTGACGCGGCTCACGTGCACTCATGTTACCATATCAAATAACATAAAGGTGACCTTTGGCCTGTACAAAGCAACTTGTACAGACCAAGTTTTTGAGGACTAGTATTTTGTAAAATACAGTCACATTTCAATTATTATACATTATATATATATGTATATAGATTATTGCTATTTTGAAATAAGTTCTTACGGTTATTTTTCCTAAAACATAGAAAAATAAATAAAGTAGTAAAGCAAACAATTATCTCTTCCAGTTATGACCTTTATACTCAGTTACTGCTTGACATAGCTTGCTAAGCCTTTACAAATTTTCCACGTGGAGGATATGAAACAGAATTATTTTTTTTTTAGGTTTTATATATACAGTTGAATAACTAAAAAATAATAAATTAATACCATAGACTTCCTCTGTAATTTAGCAAGCTTAGTAACTATGATGTACTTTGATCTAAAAAAATATGAAATTTCAAGCAGACTAAAGACACAACCTACCTCATTGAAATCTTGGTTCAAAAGAAAGAAATGGTGAAAAGAACATTAGAAAGTCTGAAATAACCTCTAGGGAGACATTTTGAGCTTCTAATTGGTTATTCATGTAATACATAGAAGTAAGTGCATATAAGGGAGCATTTCCAAAAATGGAAAAAGTTAGGCAGGTGCCAGTCAATGTGTTTGATTTATTACACGAGCAATATCTTAGCAAATAAAAAGATAAGACCTTCTTATTTTATATTCTAGCTTGTCAATATCTGTAAATTGAGTTTCTAATTCATATGAAACTACAGACTTAGTATTTTGCCTTCAGAAACATCTAATTTGAACCAGTGCTGCATTCAACATACCACATGTCACACAAAAATCGATGTTTATCTGTATTTTTTTAATATTTGCTTTTGAATTAATAAACTGAGTAATGTATAG